ATCGGGTTCACAGTATTCTGCTTCTTCTAAGTCTAATATGGAATATGAGAAACCAAATTATTCATCATGGAATCAAGCCTAAATCGGAACAATTGATCAAAGAATATCTGGGTATGTCTTCATACCTGAAGATCATCAAGCAATACTCAGAGCGATTAAGGACTTCCGTAGCGAGAACTTGAACTCATCTGCTGAGATTTTAGGAGTGGTTCGACATGCTTTGTTCTGGCTTTCATTCTTCGCTTCTGCTCACAATCTGGAAGGTTTATCGGTGGAAATCTCTGGAATTGATCGACATATCTCTGGAAACAAATAAAAAGGAAACGAAAGACGAAACATAAATCATCGATCAGCTAAAACATAAATCATGGATCAACTAAGTCCTCTGAGACTTACTTAAGAACAAGAAAGAAAAATCCTATATAAATACTATGAAATAAGATTTAGTTCTATTCACGAGAATTCAGTAAATATTCCATTTAAAAAAAAATTGAAACAGTTGAAATTTTTTTAGAAATTGAATACAGTTATTAATTCATAATTTGGCATGTATAAAGTGAAAACTTCATTATCAATTCTACGAGAAACTTTATGAAAGCTTTTTATTTGCTTCTCTTCAATGGAAGTTTTATTTTGCAAAATGTATCCCAATTCTAGGCCTAATTCTTCTTTTAACGCATGATTCAACTTTTGATCAAAAAAATATACCTTAGTTATATTTGATCTTTTCAACAAGTTTAGTAATGAGCATAACTTTTGATCAAAAAAATATACCTTAGTTATATTTGATCTTTTCAACAAGTTTAGTAATGAGCATAACGGTCTTATTGTTTCGATAAAGAGAAGAACTTATGATTAGCTTTTTAGGAAATTTCTAAATGAACAATTTCAACAAAATCTTTCAATTTCTTATTTTATTATGTTCAACTCTATGCATTCCTCTATCCGTAAAGTACATTAAATGTACAAAAATGGCTCTAATAGAGTTTTTGTTATCCGCATTAACAGCTACTCTAGGAGAAATGTTTTTATGCCGTGCTAACGATTTAATAATTATTTTTGTAGCTCCAGAATGTTTTAGTTTATGCTCCTATCTATTATCTGAATATACCAAGAAAGATATACATATCAATCGTATGGATATGTAAAATACATGATTTCCAATCCTAGCAAGAAAAGGAGTGAAAGGAATCCTTAATTTCAAGTGAGGAAACATAATTTCATACTCAATCTCACAGATACATATAAAATTCTATGAAAAGCTGTATTTGATGAAAATTGTATGTATATCTTGGAGGGAGATTTTTCATATCTTTCAAGATCCACCCTACAATATAGGGTCAAAAAGCCAAAATAAATTATTTTAGCCTTTATAAAAAGAAATTGAATTCTTGAACTCCTTTCACGCTCATGTCATGTCAAGGTACTGTAGAAGAAAAAATTGCAAAATCAAATCTAATTTATCATAATCGATTAGTTAACATGTTGGTTAACTGTATTCTGACACATGAAAAAAATCATTAGCTTATCAAATTATCATCAAGCCATGAAAAAGATTTAACAAAAGACAAAAACAAATCTACTATCTGTTTTACATCAAGCAATAAGTGGAGTAACTTCAAATATAGCGATAAAAGCAAGACGCGTAGGTAGATTGACTCATGTTGAAATAGAATCCACACAATGAAAATCACTTGCCATTTGTTGGTTATTAGGGGCATCCCAAAATTCTAGGTCAAAATATGGCTTTCAAATTAAGTTCTAAATTAGTAGATGTTGCCAAAGGGAGCAGTGATGCCATATGCAAAAAAGAAGAGACTCAAAATGACAGAGGCAAATAGAGCTTCTACACATTTTCATTAATCTATAAACAGGATATATATAAACACATAGACCCGTGGATCCATACATCTCGATTGAAAAAAAAAAATCAATAGAAATCATTTTGGAGAGACTTAAACAACTAATTTTTGCCAAGATATTGTGTTCAATGACATTGTTAGCCTTGGGTTTAATTTTAGCTCTATTTTATTTTCTAGCTTTTGTTGTTTGCCGCCTATTAGTGAATTGGAACACGAGGGGATCACTCAGATCTCTGTATTTTTCTTTTATCTTTTTCTTTTTCCTTTTTTGTATTCATTTTTAGTAATATATTTTTATTGATTTTTATTTTAAAAATCATCCATCACATGCACAATTACACACAAGTGACCTTATTCTATGCGTTTTGTCGATTTTCAAATTTCAAACAAACTTCCCTTATATTTACATTTTTTTTTTGTGTTTTTAGAACCTGCTTTGCCATTATGACAGATAATTTTCTGTTAAAAAATTGTTAATAGTATATCAGACTCCCAGCGTGTTATAGATTTATAATCCTATTGAAAATAGGCTAACCAACGAAGAAATGGATAAAACAAGCAAGATCAACCTGGAAAACGGCTCATTTGCTCAAGCAATACAAAGCATTAAGTTACGAAACAAGGGCTTTTGTTTCATCAGGGCATAAAGTTACAAGGCCGTTAAGCTAATAATTTTGACCAAATTCAACCAACCAACTTGAACCCACACAACAAATTTAGAAACAAACAAAAATAATATTTTTTTAATATTCAAGCTGGTACGAATAGGTCCCAAAAAATTTAGGCCAAGCCTGAATACCAAAATAAAAAAAATATAATAAATATTAATTAATTGTTTAATTTTCATACCATTTTATATTAAAATACAATATATTTGAGCGCATTACTATAGTTATGTTTTTTAAAAATCATATTTTCATTATTTTTTAATCAATAAAATACCTCATAATAATATTTAAGATATATTTTAATATTGACTATTATATTTTAAGACCCACTTATTTTTTTAAAAAGTTTTGAGACCTATATATTATTTAAGTAACTAAAAAATATATTTTATATTCAGGATTTCAAGTATATTATGTTAGAATTGAGAAATTTTATGTCTCAAATCTTTATTATTATTTTTATTTATTTCCTCTTATTCTTATATCTTATAATTAATAATTTTAATAATTAATTTATTATTAGCCCTACACGGGGTTTGCAAATAAATGATTGTCTGATAATGAGCAAGGAATATTTGGGCACTTTTCAAAATGTAATGATTAAAATAGCTACTAATAATAATGATCTGTATGAAATATGATAATTAATTTAAAGTAAAAATTAAATTAAAAATAATTTAAAAAATAAAATTTGAGTATGTATAAATTTTCAACTCTACTATTAGATAAACATAATAAATAGAATAATATTCTTGAATAATTATTTGGTTATCATTCATGCTAAACTTGGTTAAAAATTAAGAATAAAGTAGAATAAATATCCTTTATATGAGGGCTAAACAATATAAAAAGTTAATAAAAAAATAGTATTTTACTCATAATTAAATAATTTTTTTACATAACATAATGATGACTAATTTTCTAATATTTTCAAAAATGAAAAGTACAGTTTACTCTAAAATTATTGAAAACTTTGAACTAATTAAGGTAATAGTTTTAAGTTAATGGTCTAACATGATTGAATTAACTTCAACTTGATCATAATTAAAATAATTTAATTTAATTAAAATATATAAAATATTTATATATGACCATGGCAAGAGCACTATTTAAACAACTAAAATATTAATTTATAAATAAAGAAGACATTCATGAATAAATTATACATAATACAATAAAACAGTAGCATAATTACTTAAGTATAAAATTGATAAGTTATTATTATTTTTTATTCGTATAGAGTCAAAATAATGCACGAGGGAAAGGGCAAAATGTCAACTAGTTCTCAATAGTAAGGTGGTGAGAAGCTTAGGAAAGATAGAATGGGAGTTTGGTCCACTATCGGTAGAAATCATCTCCTACCTCTAAAGGTCGGACACTAGTACCATAAAGAAGCCTTGGTTCAATGGAAGCATGCTTCTTGGAAACCTCTCGAATGGCTGTGGCAAACCTTCTATCAACTCGATGAGATCAGACTCATAGAGAGGAGAATGTGACTATTTCAAATTTGTTGATTGAGTCCCATACACTGTTAACGAAACTATGAAAGCAAATGGCAACCTCTTGAGTGCACTCTTTGCAACCTTCCTTGCTGGCTCGTGCTATTGCCTTCCTTGTTTGATGAAATTCACCTACATTTTATTGTTTTGTATTTAATTGGATTTGAATGAGGCATTCAACAAGACGCACACTAGTCCTTGCTTCAGTAAGTCAACTTGTCTCTTCCTCCCCGCTTTCCTTTCCTTTAGAGGAGACTCCTTAGACGAAATTTATCTCAAAAGAGAAGAAAGCATTTACATATAAAAGATTACAAGTAAAATAGAACTGATGATTGACAATCTAACCTTACTGGGTGTGACTTGTCATCCTTAAAGCCCTAAGTTATTTATAGATCTCATCTAGCATCCCAATTAAATCATTCCAAAGTACTTTCCCATACGTCCCATTTCAAAACATGGTGAAAAATTTATGCTTATTAGAATTACTTAAGAATTAAAATTAATTCAAAAAATAAAAAAATATTTTTTAAAAATTTTAAGCATTCGAGCCAAAACAAGCCCAAGGCCAGAAGGTGTTGAAACCAAATTTGGCCATATGAGCTTTTTATGTAAGGTAGAATACTTTAAACTCTATTCCAAGAAACCCAATTAAAATTGAGCCTAATTCACCCACATTAGTGACTACTTGAACATTGTTGAATGCCAAACACAATTTTTTCTTTTATTTATTTATTTATTTTTTTGGGGGGGGGGTGGTGCGGTGGGGTGGGAGAGATGTTCATAGACAGACAGGACATGAACGGTTGTCGGACGGATATGGCTTCATCATGCAGAAGCTTTGAACCCAGACTACTAGGAGCTTCCCAATGAATGACTCATCACATTATTCCATCACCCTATGAATTCCCCATAACTGCAAAAAGAAACATCCTCGGAACAGCACAAAATTCTCAAACAGAACAACCTGTTGATTTGCCTCAGATAAGAACATTAATTTATTATTTCGTAGGTAATCGGTATGGAGAGGACGGAGGCAATTTAAAAAAAAAAAAATTGAGTATCAGCATATGAAAATTTGATAATTCAGAGGTTCAGATCCAACGTACAAGTAGTTCACATCCACAGCAACATCTCCAAGATCATCTGCGCCGAGGTGGGATGACACAATCAATCAACTTATTCTTCCAAAACCGAATTTCATCCTATCCATCTTAATAAATAAGCAATGAAGAAAATATATGAAAACAAAACCTTCATATATGGTCCGTGCAAAATGTACATAATCAGGAATTAGATCTTTGTATATGATTCCATCAGGCCGCGCATCCAGCACCACTAAAACACCTGTGAAATTTTTTTAATCAAAATACACTATTAGTATGATTATTATCAGTGAGACAAAGGGGGGTACGTAGCCAGAAATCTAACATCAAACAGCACGATCCTTTGCTGGTGGAGTGCTGTATTAAATATCCACCGCTTGCAAAATTAATCACTTTGCATTCGCTTTTGAGTAGAATCAATCAAAGAAACGCAATATCGAGGGAAATGGGTTAAAAAAGAATCACTTTTGAGTAGGAGTTATTCGGTGGCTGTCACTAAAAAGGGCATCTAGTGCTACTCTGGAAATCGGTTAATATCAAATCCAGGGCCACATTAAACATCAAAGCTCAACAGAAATAGAGTTACTGATGCTCATTTAATATATGAAGGTACAGTAAAAAATATATGTATATATATAGAGGCCCTGCTTGGTTATTAGAAAAAAATGGAATGGATTGAAAAAATCAATATAAAAATGAATGAAATCACCTTTCCTCGTAATAAAAATGATAAAACTCATTAATATATACTACAAATGTCAGAATCATCACACCTTCCAAAAACATCATGACTCGTGTTTTCCATCTTCATAAACTAAATTACTCCTCTCTTTTATAAATGTAGTTTACTGTTTCTTTTGATCACCTCGTTTTTACCTTCATTTTTTTCAATTCATTTAATTTCATTCTTTTCTAGTAATTGGACGGGACGATGGTGCTTTGACTTCAAAACGTTCTGTCATGCTATTCCCTTGAAGTTTCTTCATTTCTATCCTAGCAGTTAAGACAAGGATTTCTTTGTCTCAAGACACTGAACATAAAATAAACTTGAAGATTTGTAAGTAACAGTAGGTGTTAAGACTCTGCATGATACGGGGACCCAGAAAAGAGGCTCCAGTGTCATATTTCTCTTTACCACCACAAAAAAAGGTGATAAAATAAGTTCGACACAGTAAAGTGTATTTATTCTAGGTTACATAAGCTCTGGCACTAGTGACTTGTGAAATAAAAAAAGAGAGAATAAATCAACTTTGGAGCCCTGTTAACCACCATAGTGCAGGCTTAGGCATTAGCATATGCTTAAAACAAATTCAAATTTTGTAAAGGCAGCTTGGCTGGATAGTACCTGGCGCCGCCCAAGATTTGGTGGGATTGTGAGGCAATGGAGCCAGCCAGAGAATATTGCGCAGGTTCATTGAGTCATCATATTTCACTTTGGACCCTGAAAATACATTCTAAGATAAGCAGAGCATTCAAAAAACCAAATGCAGGTTTGAGCATTAGAAGATTGTCAGTCACTCACTTGTCAGAACTTTAAAATTTTTTACATTTTCATTTTAATCTGTTGAAGCAGTTATAGGGTTTGAAGACACGCAAAGAAACTTAAATTTTGGTTTTTGTTAATGTACCTCGCTGACAAAATCCCATATTGTATGGGAAAACTTCTTTATCATATTCTGGATATTCCTTAGCGTGGAATCTGCAATGTAATATTGCAAAATTAACTAATTTAGCTCAAAAGTTTAGTTACATTTTTAGATACACAGTAGATCAGCACAGAAGAGAAGTTCACCTTTAGAAAGAATAAAAAAGCAGGCATACTGTGATAAATATATCAACTTACAAGATACCAAGCCTTCCAGAATCTACAGCTAGAAATAGGTGACCGTGGAATAGATCAAAACGGTTCAATGTTACATTCAATCCAATAGGTGGACCCCGATCAGCAATGACATCAAACAGAAATTTTAGATACCAGTTCACTTCCTGCAATTCGTCAGTAAAATTCAAGATTGTTATCATGAATATTATATTGCTCTTTATTTTTCCGAGAAGAAGTGAGGTTTCGTTACACCAACCTCACTAATAAAGCGTCTGCCATATGGTGTTCTAGTGAGCTCACATCGGCTTTCTTTTGATCCTTCAATATCAGGAACCTTGCACACCACAAAAGCTATTATTTCACTGCCCAAAGTTGTACATTCAAGCAACGTCCAAAACATTGAAGGGCTTAATTTAAACAGAACCTGGAGTCCTCAACATATGATAAAGACCTCTTGGTATGTTTAAACACAACATTTAGTTGTATGTATTTTATGCCTGTGTTTGGCATACGCATACAACATAGCAAAGCCGTCAGCCAAAAACCTCCTCCACCGACATAGCACTGCCAAAATTGTGAGCGACCCACCCCCACCCCAACCCAGGAGAGGGGGTGGGGGAGCCCTTCCCGGTTAAAATGGAATTCTTGCATTTTTTTTTTTAAGGGAAACATTTTGCCCAGGGTTACAAATTACAAATAGTATCATTCGTAGAAAACTTCAAAATTTTATATGGGATGTAAGGATCTTTTAAAAAGGAAAAAAAAAGTGAAGCATTTTGCTCAGGGTTAAAATGCATGAGTTGTATCGCATATTCAGTAGCCAGTTGTCCAACATAAATGAGTCCAATGTATTGTTTCAATTCTAATTGAGAAATTAAACCACCATCACAAAGGTTACTCAAAGAACAAAGCAAACTCACAGGAATTATGGTTGGATCGAGAAGGCGTTGAATAGCCGCTGGGTCACCCCCAGAATCGACGGCGAGACGTGCGAGCTCCAAAACCGGCTCCGGAGGCCGCCAAATTAGCTCGTTTTCCTCTCTTTGACTCCGGACAGTGGATTTCGTCAAAGCCAATGTCCGTCGAGGAGAACGCTGATTATGATTCAATCTTACACAATTTGGAGAAAAGGGAACGAGGAATTTGAAGCAGGACCTGAGTTCTCGCGCTACGACAGGATTGACGTTTAAGGATTCAGACTTGGAACCTAACACAGAAAGCAAGTCAGAGGGAGTGGCTCTAGGGGTAGATGGGGAAGAAAGTTTGGACAAGAATAGAGGCGCCGACGACGAAGCTGTAAGGGAAAATGAGAGGAAAAGTGCAAATCTGAAGGAGAGGAACGGATTGTTCAAAACCATCTATCCCCTTTCTCTCTGGCCCCTCAAAATGGAATTGACATGTGAACCAAACGGGGCTTAGATGTTGGTTCAGACTTCAGTCTGCACACCAGTTGCCCTTCCTGCAAGTATCTGAGATCTCAAACCGGCGAAGGATGCAATGGATTCAGATGGTAGTTGGACTGCTGAGGCTACATGTGGCGTTGGCTAATTTGCTCTGGTGCTCTTGCTTTGGATGTCGCTGTTCCCTTTTCTCTGATTTTCTTGCTTTGTCTGAATCTTGTTTTGCCGGAACTGTTTTGTTCCGTCTGCTGATGTTATCCAAGTCCGCTGCTGGCGAAATATAAAAAGAAAAAGAAAACAAAGCTCTTGATAATATTGCAAACTACTTTTCGCTCCTCGGTTAACCACTTTCTTCTGAAGACTGGAGAGCGAGGGAGTGTCCATAGTTCATGCGAAGTTTGACTTTTCTTTTCTCTTTTTCTATCGAAAAATCGAAATATATGATAGGGGAGAAAGGGAGGATTGCTGGGTTTTTCATCAGAGCACGGGGGTTCTCCAAAACACCCTAATAATATTGTTAATTATTTCAATTTTCATGTACGAGCACCCCTGGACTTAGGCGCCATTTGAGCAATTAACTTTTCACATCTTAAAATACTTTTTTACTTGTGAAATGTGAAAAACTATTTGAAATAATTTTATAAGAGTAAATGTATCTTTTAAAGAGTTCTCAACCCAACTGAAACGTGAAATTTTAAAAGTTTCATTGGGTAGCTTTTGAAATGAAAATGTGAATGTGAAGCATTAAAATCCTCTCAATTATTTTCTCATTCTTGTCGTGCAGCCGAGCCTTGTGTCTCCACTGATTCATTTCCATCTCTGCTCGAGCTACTCATTTCTGATCAGACTTGGGTTTCTTCAAAGGCTTGGCTTTTCCACCGACACGCCCAAATATTAATCTCAGGCGGAAAGAAAAATAAAGGTACTAGTAAACATATCAAAATACAAGGGTTTCATAGATCGAATATGAAGGGAAAAGACACAAGTTCAAAACATAAGAAGAGTCTGCCGAATCGGAGAATCAGGTGATTCCAATGACCAACATCAGAGAAGCACCTACCTTGCTTGGACGACATAATTGCGGTGTAGAGCTAGGGTTCAGTCCAAATCAAAAAGCAAGAAAACTTTTTTTGAGCCATGCGACTTTGCCTCTTCCCACAATGGCCTCTCGTGAATTCTCATCGTTTATATATCGTGCCAATGGCAAAAGGTAAAATAGCCCCCTTCTCATTAACAATTAAATAATATATAAATAAAATACATAAATAATAAAATGATTACATAATTTATTTCAATATTAAATTTAATATTTTTATTCTTATATTTTTTAAATATTTTTAATATATTATATTTATGTAATAAAAATTACTATTATTAATTATCATAAATCAATGTTTTTTTTCTCATTACATATTTAAAAATGTATTTTAAAAATATAAATAATCATTAATTTAAATAATTTTCAATTTATCAAACTGATTTTTTTAAAAACATATTTAAATATATATTTCATTATAACAATTAATTTTTATTAAACTGATTTTTATTAAATAAATTTTTAATAAATTAACTTTTAACAAATTGAAAGCTAAAAGCATACTTAATTTCTTTTCAAGTGTATTAGAATACACAGGAACAAAGAAAGAGAGGTCTAGCAAGATTCACACGCCAAATAAGACCAACCAGAGCTCTTCTCTCTCTTTTCACCTATCTAGTCTTGAAGATGAGTCACGGCCAGTATCTCTCATGTCTATCAACTATCGCCCCCTTAGAGATCCATTTATCTTAAAAGAAGCATTTATTTTGCAAGGAATCGGTAAGAATTTACTAAAATGAGATGAAGTTACAATCTTGCAAGCTCGCATTTATTTTGAAACACGCCTTAAAAATTTACGAAAATTATTTATCTCCAAGGTGTAATAGAGAACGGGACGAACGCGCGATGACTTCAACACATATTTTGAAAAATGCCTCAAGATTTATAAAAATTCATGTACTAGAAAGACAGGCGGATGTCCGGTAATTTCAATACAATTCCATCTTTTACCACAAGTCTCCAGCCACCCAGAAGCCCATGATTTAACAAGCTGCAAGAAGGATGCCTTGTGCTCATTTCCAATCCATGACAGTGACGGTGAAGATACCAGAGCCCACAAGCAGCAAGCGCCAGATTCGATAATCCCACCTATGAAAGCGGGTTGATAAAAGAAATGTTAATTCTTTTATCACTGCCTACTAACCCCAAGCTCGCAACTTATAGAGGAGTTGGAAAAGTCCTAAACATATTCATATATGTAATGAAACAGAAAAACGTTAACGAGAAATTACCGAATAATCAAAACAGTAAGTTACAAGTAAGGATGTCAAGGCGGATAATTGATCGCCATAGCCCATAAGCTTAACAGGCAACATGTTCGATGGCTGAGTAATCTATAGCGAGATTTAACGGTTTATGTTAAAAGTAGGCATCAGATTCATCTAACTGCGTTATGATTGACGGCATAGAGCAAGATGAAATAAGCGTACAATAGGGTCGATACACTCTACATCCGCATCACAAAAAATGTATCTTGTTTGTTTATAACTTTGGTAATGTTCATTCAATGGGTTATTCATGAAATGGCGATCATCAAAGACCATACTTCGATTAAAAAATGCTTCAAACAACAAAGCATGTTACAAGAACTGACAAGAATACTTACAGAGGAAAGAAAACTATTAAGAGACTCCTCTCGATATTATGATTCCTCATAGTACGGTGGTGTCGACTGAACATACTGCTCGTTCTCATCCCCATCATCATCGCCCTCTTCAGATTCTACCCAGTTACTAGGGTGATGCTGAGAGCCTTGACCATTGCCTTGTATCCCATCTGGAAGAAGAGTGTTGTCATTTAGATACTGCAAGTGCACTAATGAAGGTAAGCCCATTGACAAGCAGAGTTTAGCTGACCTTGAGGTTCCTGAATACGATCTTTCTCAGTTGGATGGCAACTAATACATCAGTCAAGGTACATTAAATTTGACAATTGGTCAAATCATGGATCATGTTAAAGCTTCCAGCAATCCTATTAACAGTCTAAAACACCAAAGTGAGAATGATGCAGTAAGGAATTGCATTCAGTGCAAGCATTTCAATGTATGAACCCAATAAAGGGTCTTCTTTGAGGACCCTTTATTTTTAACTGCCCCTCATATATATATTGACTGAGACATTAAACAATGATGCTTAAGATATCAATGCATATAAACAGAGGCAACACTAGCATTGAGGATACGAATTGTTCTCAACAAAATTATTTCTTGCAACCGATGCTACTCCTGAAATTTGCATTGTGACAATCCTTTGAATTTCCCTCAGTTCATTATCATTCAAAATGTTCTCTCTTTGTGCCAGTCTTTCTTCTATACCACTGGTATTTTTAGTTGCACTTCCTGCCAGGGAAAAAAAAAAGACACAAAATGAGAGTTGGGATCAAATTCCATGTTATTCAAATTATCATATTTAACTTACCCGATAGGTCAGACCATATACGAGTGTGATCAGATGGAAGCTCAGATACATTCGTTTTGCAATTCTCTTGTCGCACGGATCCACCCTTTTCAGTTTGAGCATGAATTCTTGTAGATGCCTCTGGAAGTTCTGCGGCACCTTCATGCAGCTGAGATATCAACATGGTTGCCAATACAAGTGTGACATCAAAATTTGAATCAGGCCCATCTTCCAAACCAAATTTAGGTGCCATTAGAACAGGCCTGCAACCCATATGCATTATTGTTAATATAAAAATATAAAAATTCTAACAAGCCACACTATTCATAAGCTGTATAAAATGATAGGATTTTAGGCGAAAGGAAGTAAGACAGTTCCTCTCTGTAAGATGAAAATTTTTCAAGTTTCAATCATGGGAAACAATTCCATTTCCATCGCTTTGCCTTCCATCTCCATCATTACCTAGCACCCAACAACACTAACAAACGTCTGCACAAATTTTACTACGCTCAATAAGTCATGAATTGAGAAGATAATTCTAGCAGTGAAATACATTTGGAGGTTGTTAGGAGTCGACAAACATGTAATCATCCACACTCATCATAAACTCTAGACAGCTTATATAAAAGAAGTTCAATTGAAAAATCAAAAATCCATGAGGGAGGCAAATAAAGAGGATAATGGTTGGCTCAGCAAATGCATCTTACTCTCCAGCTTTCTCAAAATGTAAATGGATGTCAACTTCACAGCCTTCACAGAACGAAAGAAATGCCTGCAGTATGACGGGAAGAAAAATCACGCCCATAAAAATAATTTACTCTTTTCATATTCAATAGGAAGGGAAGAAAGAAAAATTACCAGAACCAATAAAAAGGCAATAATAATAAAAATCAACATATCAATTGATGACAATTTCTATCCAACAGTAAGTAGACTCATTTACACAAGACCTTTCAACCCAGTAAGATGGCTTCACATGGTTTACCTTCAGTTCTTTTACACTGAAAGTCACATCAACAGGGTCTCCATTATGAATATACTGTAGAAACTCCTCTTTTGGATCAATCCACAACTGGGTGTGTAGCAATGAGTCATTATCTGTCAAAAAGACCTTAAGAATAAATAACAATATATTTCATAAAGTCAACAACAGAACATATTTACCTTTGGTTGGGTCCAAATAACTCCGAAGTTCAACAGCCTTTCCACCAGTCTCATTTGCAGCATCGGAAGGTAACGAGGAAGGTTCTGTTGCAATGATGGTAATCTCTTGGAGAGATGACTGAAAATTAGCAAGTAACCTATTGAGAACTGGAGGCCTCACAACAAAGTTACTGGGGAACTTTTGCCTATCAAGGGATAAGTGCTGTATGTCAGATTCGGTATTGCATGTAATCCAATAAGTTTTCCTCGTACCTGCACTCAATAAGGACAAATTTTACGCCCCTGCTAAATGCCATTTATATGGTACATCAATTGAGACTCAAGTCAAAACGTCCACTATACTACCCTAGCCTTCAGTTTATTTTTAGTTGAATAGGCTATTACACGGATTGAAAAGTATCCTGTTTCTCATAACTCAAAAAAACCCCAAGCTTATGGCACAGTAGAAGTGCTAAAAAAATGCACACAATGAGGCAGAGCCAATTTTAACGTCACAATTAGCCCACTAAAAGGAAATCATGCAACGAGTGTCAAGAAGCAGTTCACTTTCCACGATGATTTTCTAGTTTAGAGTGCGGCTAGATCACTTCAAATCTAAAAGGGAACAGGCTAGATTCTGAAGCTTGTTATGGGGGTTGCTGTTTGATGCCATAAATTTTTCATGTTAGCCAGTTAAAATGACATAAGAAAGCACGCATGCATCAAGTGAGTAGGGATTTTTACCATTGCAGCATTCCAAGATCCACTGGACTTTAGAAGCATCAGGACCAGGCAGTCTCACAGTCAAACGATCAATATTTGTAATAGGGGTCCTGAAAACTGAACAAATAGCCTGACCAAAGTATGTCAGTAATACGACTCCCCAAATAAGTTGAAGTTAAGAGACGAAATACCATCTTTCTCCCACCTTCAAAAGTACACTAAATTGCGCCAGGTTTCCAGACACTGTATATACATCAAAGAAGCCAGGTTTGAATGTAATGGATTGATACGCAGATCGCGATGAATTGAGAGCGTGGAAAACAAGCTGAAATCAGGTAATAGAAATGACAAAAAAGAAAAAGAAACTATCAAAATAGGCAATTATAGTCAGCAATCACCAATTCACTTATCTGATCTGAAATACTAATTGTGCTTATTCTGAAATCCTGAATTGTTTATGCAAGACTCAGACTCAACTGGAAGTGGTAGATAGTTTTATTAACGCGAAACGATGAGATATACGAAGGACATTTTCTACTAATAAAAACTAATGGGCCAATCGAAGAGCGGTGAGACTTGAGAGAAACCCAGAAGCTCATCCCTGCATTATAATCGAGTAAAACTCACGAATAAATGGGATAGAGAGAATTGGTCTGAGCTTGTGCGAGTGCGAGTGGCAGTGAGAAGCAGAGAGGAGTTACTGGGAGATAGAGATAGAGATAGAGAAGGCGGGAGAAATTGAAGTACCTGAGAGGAAGAGGCTTGAATAGAAAGCTCGTTTCCGATGCGGGCAAGACAAGTGATGCAACGAGCAAAGGTTCTCAGAGCGTTATCACTCAACGTAAACTCCATTAACTGAACTCCGGGAGCCGCGCGAAGGATGATGGAAATTAGGGTTGGCGCCTTGGCGGGAACGCTTAAACTATGGTAACCTCCTGGACACGGATCCGGCGCGATCCGAATGGATTAGGGGGAACATTCCGGTACTCTTCAGTTATTCACTCGAGACTTGGCGTAAAACTAACAACGCCGGGGTATTTATTACGCAATGCGGAATGGCGCCTTGAGACCTGCGTATTGATTTAATTACATTTTATACCAAGAAATTTCAAACTTTTGATATCAGACCCAGCTTCCTTTAAATTTAGTGCACGGTTTTTAGTTTCAGATTCCTTTAAAATCATTTGCAATTTTTAAACTGTCTCATGCATGGTTTAGTGATCATTTATTTCCACTTCATGCTAATGCAAATTAAACAAGTTAACTAGTAGGATAGATGGAATCAGGTTCCCTCCAGTGAAGTGATGAATTGTTTGTTGCTCTATGCATGCTCGTTCAAGCGCCGCTGATTGAACCGTGCGCCACTCGAACGCTTTTTACCATTCTTTTTTTAAGCCCTGGCCCACATTTTGTACGACGCCAACTTCCTTGCGGGTCCACCGTTTTCGAAATCCAATCACTTCCCCATAGACAGAACCCGCATTCACTAATACTTAAACCTTTAAATATTAAAGGCCCCTCCATCTCCTCGCGACCAGGTGAGTAATCATGTGTTAAGCAGTTGATCCACCCCCAAAGTTTCAAACCGTTTACATCTCTCAACTCGCCTTTTTGTTTTTTTTCTTTTTGGTGGTTATTGGTGGCCCCATTCGGCCATTCTTATTGTTCCAACTTCCAACTTACTGGTCAAGTGAACAGCTTGTGCTATTTCGACGCATACACTTCCGGAGCCGGAAGTGGGTCTCTCTACTTCTCCTTCCTCCATATTCCTCCACTTCCTCCATCTTTATCATTTAAATTTTTTTATTAAATAATTTTTTTAAATAATAAAATTAATGAATGGTAAGAATGGAGAAAGTAAAGGGAAAGGGAGGGAAAAAAATAGAGAGATCCTGCTCCCCTGGGCTCCACTCTTCTTCTACAATATTCCCTGGCTCTATTCTGCTCACCTTAAACTTTTTATCCTTTTATCTTGTCCGGTACGATCGGCATCTAAAAAGCCACATGCTCGAAGTGATGTGGGGAATATATGGAGCATCATCTCATTACCCTCTCAAGCTTGGATGTAACCACTACTCTTCTCATCCTATACACAAGAAACAGAAAAATTTTAATTCCATTTATAATTTATTTTTATCTTTTTATTTTTTATCAAATGTTAAAAAAATATTGAAAATTATTTTTTGTCTTTATTTAAGATAGAGATATAAACTTATTAAATTTAAAAATAAAATTAATAAGATTTAATATTTTTCTTCATTTCAATAAAATATAAAATATTAAAAATGAGTTATAAATAAGATAAAAGAAAAAGGATACAAAATATATGCATGTACACCAGGCTCAAAATTCTTTTTTCTTTTTTCCCCATTGTCAAGAGTTAAAAATTTCATTATATAAAAAAGGAAGAATCTCATCTAAGGCTCCTAAGGAAGAAAAATTGCACTTAAAGCTCAATATATTCTGAAATTATTTTACAAGTCCAACGATTCCATTTGCAAGTATGTTTTAGGGAGAAAGGATAATTGCCCTTGGTGAGAAAATACAATAAATACAAATTCAAATTTTTACAGCTATGTGTTCATAAATTCATAACTTTAAATTATCATATTAACAAATAATTATTCATTAAAAGTGAACTTTTTATTTAGAGTTGGTATGTTCATCTTGATCAACTTAATAAATTTATAACTTAAAGTTTAAATATTTACAAATGCAAATTCATTTATTCATAAATCACAATCCAGAATTTATAACTTCATACATTTAAAATTAAAGTTCATCATAATTGAAAGTTTAGATTTTTACAAATACATATTTCTCCCGTTTTTATATATAAGAAAAAAAATTGTATCATAAAGTTTAAAAAAGTCAGTTAAGTATAATAATTACACCTGACAATAAAAAAAAGTAGATTAAAATATCCTATATTAATCAACACATAATCATACATTAATTGTTTATCATTAATGTAAATTATGAAAGATAATTTAAAAAATGTATAATAAATTTTTATTGGAGTGGGTGATTTTGCTTATAAAAAAATATAAATAAAAAATGATAGTTTCTCTAACAATAAAAAAATGGAGAGAGTATTTACCAATTCACAACTTTCTGGTCACATGCTAATAAATAATTGTTCATTTATAGTGAAATTCATGTTTAAGCTTGATAATTTTAAATATTTACAAGTACATGTTTGTTTACTCACAAATCAAAGTATAAAATTCATGACTTCATATATTTAAAATTAAAGTTTATCATGACATTAAGTTTAAAATTTTACAACTAGATGTTTGCAAATTCATAATTTTGAGTTTACATAATAGCAATCAATTGTCCATTAATAGTGAATATAAAGTTCTTTCCTTCTTATTAAGGGTAATTATGTTTTTTCTGCCAAAAATATATTTGCGAAAAAAGCTTTTTGGCTTACAGAATAATTTTAAAATATACTGGGCTCTAAGTATAATTTTTTTCACTGGGCCATAGATGAGATTCTCCCTAAAAAAGTGCAAAATTTAAATTACCAAAATACACGCACTGGAGTGAGTCAAACTGGAAAGGAAAATGTCGCAAATATTACAAGGCTTAAAGCAGAAACTCTAACTTGAGAAAAACCTCCAACTATATGTACTGCAGCTACTCCGCATATTCTGCATCTGCTTGTTCCTACAAAATCATCCCCTGCGCTCTCTGGTCATACTCAAATTACTGCGCATCCATTTGGATTGTCGTCGCTGAGGAACTCGAAAGAATCCGATGGCTGCTGCTCGGAGTAGTACAGCGGAGGCTCCATTCCCTTCTCGTCGCCTGGAGGTATGTGGGCGTGCGAATACGTTCCTTTGGAGCTACAATACGCTGTGCTGTAGCTGTTGCTGGGATATGCTGCGGGATAGTTCACCGTGTACAATGGAGGTGCATAGTAGTAACGTGGTGGGTACTGGTGGTGGGTTTGCTGACCTGGAGGGTTCTGATTGGCTGGGCTTGGAATCGGAACCGCTTCCAGGACTTGAACTTGTGCCTGGTTCGCCGGTGCATCGCCATAACGTTCACCGTCCTCGGCTCTGTTGTTATTACCTTTTGGCCCCTTCTTTTTCTTCTTTTTACTACCACCGCCACTTCTCTCGTTCCCTGCTTCATTTTCATTGAACGCCGGCAGTGGTGGCTGGTCACCGGCCGATATTGTCACAACTTGCTTCTGCTCAGCCTTTTGTTCTTGAAAATGAACACCGCTTTTTCCGGTTACACCTCCGCATCCTTCGCTGTTTCGGTTGGGGATGGCCCCTTCGCCGTTTTTGGCCGTGTCTTGGACCACAGCTTTGACGCCTTCCCTTTCATCGTCGTCGCAGGCTTGGTTGCTATCTTCTCTGCTCTCGGGGTCGACCTGTTTCTCTTTGTTGCCAGATTTTCCTGCCTTTTTCTTTTTTGAATTGGACTTTTCAGGCCACAACTCTGCATGCTTCCCTGATTTTGTTAGCTTCTTTATCAGCGTCTTGCTGTCTACGTTCCCCGTTACCTCGACTCTCTGTTTCCTCAAATCAATGTTTATGTTGTAAACGCCTGAATTCAGGACAGTGTTAAGGACAAGCTTGAAATATCATGTAAAAGGAGAATCCGTCACAAAAAATAGCAGTCATAATCGGGAGTCATGTAAAAGATAGAATCGAAACTAAACATATGAGATGTTAACGGGAGCAGAATAAATCTAATATGCTGACGGTTCTTAAAAAAATTTGTAAGTGTGAAGTGAAGAAGATTGGCCGAGTTGCACTGGAATTTTAATGTCTCAAGATTTTCAGATATTAAAGGAAAAGCAGAGAGGAACAAAAAACAGAGACAAGTGAAATCAATTAAAAAAATGTCGAGACTTGGGAGATTTTCAGTAGTACCGTCTATACTCCGTAGTATTTTTTTCACCTTCCTTTTGCAGCCTTCGCAGTGAATAGAGACTTTCAACACGTGGGTCTGTTGAACACGCATAAGGAAAAAGTTCAGAGCCTGATACACACACTCGAGAACTGAATGACTATAACAGATGGATGAATCATAATGCCAACTGAACAATGCCTTGCCTTGCATATGAGGGACTTTATCTGTTCCTCTGCTTCTTTCACTTCCGCTACTTTTGCTTCTGTTGCAGCCATTCGGATTTCTGATACAGAAACTAGAGTTCTGCTGGGGGCAGGGTTGTCTGAAATTGATGGGAATACTTAGAAAAAGCAAAGAAACGAGGCATTACGATATTGGTGACAAACAAAAGGAAGGCGGTTATGAAAAGAAGGGCCTTGGGAAGGTGACGGGGAGGAAAACAGTGTGGACCACTGGAATAGTGGGATATGTACAAGAATAACGACATTAAATTTTATTACAAGTTTTTTGTAGTGGACGCCAGTCATTATCAATTTAGCATTTGATGCCTCACCACACTTTTTTTCTTCTTTTGCAGCTCAGTGTCTGATTCTTTTTTAGGATAACGCTACCATTTTTCATCTAAAGTAATATTAAACAAGAAGTTGGTAATTTCGTATTAGCTTCATACTCCCTCTTATTCTATTTGTAGGAGAGAAAAAACTATATCATATAATTTAAAAAAATCAGTTAACTATATTAATTGTATTTAAAAATAAAAAACTAGATTATAATACTTTTATTAATTGTATTAATCAATCCTTCATTAATTATTTCTTATGATTATTAATGATAAAATTATAAGGGGTGATTTAGGAATTTTGCAGTAGATGCCTATTGAAAATATGATGTTATTTATATGAAGAAATAAGCTAAAAGTAATAGTTCCTCCTATAAATAAAAATGGAGAGAGTATAACACTAGAATCCTTAGCCTTTTAAGTTGTTTATAAATTTGAAATGTTTTGTCTGTTGATATTCAAATGCCAATAGTAATTTTTATTTTTATTAGACCATATGTTATGTTGTTATGAATAGTTAGCTAATTTGGTATCCGACCCATTATATAAGGCCCATTATTCTCTCTTCTATATAACTAAGTTTGTGTGCTCAAATTCAATAGAGTTTTTTGATTGATTTGAATAATATTTAAAAATATATTTTCTCTTACTTTTTAGTATGGTATCAGAGTTAGAAGCTCTTTGCAATTTTCTCTAACCTCTACTCTTCTTGATTCTTCTCTCTTCGTTCATGGCGACTCAAGATCTTGTGCTGTCTCCCAAATTCTTTATAAACAAGAAAATTACTACCTCGTCTCAATGATAGAAATTTTCTCCTTTGGAAACAACAGGTCTTGTTAATGGGCAAGTAACACCATCTACATTCGTTGCCCAATGGCGCTCAATCGACTCCTTCAGTTACTGTTAAGGATTTTGATGGTCATGATGTTCTCAATCTTGCCTTTAAGGATTTTGAACAACAAGACTCTGCTCTTGCCTCGTCACTCCTAGCTTCAGTTTCTCCATCGGTTCTTCTTGAGCTCGGCTAAAACACTTCATCACAGATTTGGCATCATCTTTGTAATATAATTTCCACTAACTCTAAGTTAAAGGTTTTGCATTATCAGACCTTACTTACAAACCAGAAGAAAGCAATCAATCAATGCGAGATTACCTTGCCGTCATCAAGTCCACATGTAATCATTTAGAGATGCTTGATCATCAAGTTGATGAAAGGACACATGTCTCTCATATTCTTCATGGCTTGACCTTTGAATATGAACCTGTCATTACTTTTGGTAAACTTTACTATTTCTTGCCTTTATTTTAATACTATCTTTACTATATTGCTCGATGTAGAGGCACACCAGAAATCCTTTCTTACATAAGTAGTTGCACAAGTTTACATGACTTTTGTTGCTTACTCATCTGGTGATAAGGATGTTGTTGATATGGTGTTTTCTACTCAAGGACCATCATTTGTTCCTAGTCGTGGTGGAGGTTTTCATCCACTGTTTAATTTTATTCGTGGTGGTCATGGTTAAGGTAGATTTTCTTCTTCCATAAGACCATCTTGTTAGATTTGTTTTCGTATTGGTCATACTACAAATTATTACTATTTCATGTTTGATCATTCTTACACTCCTGTTCCTAGATCTGATTAATGTGCTTGCTACATATCTGGTCCTGCACTTATTACTTTTCTTGTTAATCATAACACCATGGTGCCTGCTTTGCTTGCATCATTTTCTCATGCTCATGCTTCACCATTGGCTACTTCTAACACTATACCTAGTGTTATAGCTCCTTTATCATTTCCTATTTCTTCCTCTACTACTCAAGTCTTAATGGCTGTTCCTTCTAGCTCTGTATCTCCATCCACTCCACAAGTTTTTATGACCACACCGGAGGTTGTAACAAACAATGTATGGTACATGAATTCCGGAGCAACACATCATATTGCTAAGGATCCTTCAGTGCTTCACTACTCAAAATCATATACTAGTCAAGGCAATGTTTGTGTAGGTAATGGTAGCCTTGAACCCATAGTTGTTGTGGGAAATTTATATCTCTATTCTCTAATTGCAAAAATGAACTTATCTCAGGTGTTATGTGTGCCTATTATGATAAAGAATCTTTGTTCTATGTCTAAGTTCACTAAAGATAATGGTGTCTCTATTGAATTCTTTCCTCACACATCATTGGTAAAGGATTTGCAGACCTAACGTCCTCTTATGTATGGACCTGAGATCGATGGCATGTATCTAATGACCACAATCTTACCTCCACACTCATTTGCTGATGCAAGCAACAGTTCACCCAATTTTTAGGCCTCGATGGCTTCTGACCCTCTCAACACATGGCATTATTGACTTAGTCATCTTCTACTAACATCCTTAAGCATTTTTACAGTTTTATAGCATTCCTTATTTAAAAAAGTCTATACTCTCTCCTTGTTTTGCCCATTGTTTAGGAAATAGTCACAAACTATCATTTCAGTCCTCTTCTACTGTCTATGATACCCCTTTGCAACTGTATTTGCTAACCTTTGGGGTCCTGCTCCCATTGTTTCTAATGGTTTTTATTATTACATCACTTTTGTTTATGCTTGTATAAGGTTTACTTACTCAAACAGAAGTTTAATGCTCTTGCTATTTTTTAGTCTTTCAAAACATATGTTGAATTACATTTTAATTCAAAAATTCAACAACTATAAATTGATAATGGTAGAGAATTTGTGGTTTTCTCATTTTTTTTGGCTAATTGTGGTATTGAACATCAATTTACTTGCAATCACACTTCTGAGCAAAATATTATTGTAGAGTGCAAATATCATCAAGTTGTGGAAATTGGTCTTTCTTTATTAGCTTATATGTCACTGCTTTTACATTATTAGCTTGATACTTTTACAATTGCAGTATTAACTCACATGTTGACTCATGTGTATTCATTCGAGAGATAACTTCTTTTGTTTCTTATCTTGCCATTTATGTTAATGATCTGTTACTCATGGGTAGTGATTTTGTTAAGCTATGATGACCCATCTTTAACACTGGTCAACTTTTTCTCTCAAAGACTTAAGTGAAGTCTCACATTTTTTGGGTATTAATTTCACTCGTTTTGCAACAAGTATCCCTCTTAGTTAATGAAACTACATTAATGAGCTTCTTTCTCGTGCATAGATGATTAATTCTAAGTCCCGAGTGACACCTATGGCTACAAACATGCAACTTGTTTATCGCTGCAAGAAAGATGATCCATCTTCTTCTATTAACAAACAACTACCTAATGATTTCAATGTTTCACTGATGTTGATTTTGCTTTTCTAGACGACCCTACTTCATATCGTAGTACTCTATAGTGCATCTATCATACCAGACCAAACATTTCATTTTCAGTTAATCGTCTTAGTTAGTTTATGCATTAACCACAAGTTATATATTAGAAATATGCTCAAAGGATTTTTCAATACTTGAATCGTACCATTCATTATGATCTTCTTATTAAGCTTGTCAGCTAATATGTAGTTCAAGGTTTTGCGAATGCTGACTGGGGTAATGATTATGAGAATCGATGTTCCACAAGTGGCATCTGTGTTTACCTTGGTCCCAATCTTGTTATCTAATTATCTCAAAAGTAGTAAGTTGTTTCTTGGTCTACTATTGAGGCTGAATACAAAAGAATTGCTAACACAGTTATGGAGGTTATGTGGCATATGGCTCTTCTACATGAATTTCATGTGTCGGTTCCTGGCATTCCTTCTGTTTAGCGTGATAACACCAGTGCTATTTCACTAGCTGCCAATCCGATTCATCATGCCAAGACAAAGTATGTTGAACTTGACATTCATTTCATTTGTGAAAAGGTTGATGCTTGGTTGGTACGTGTCAGCTATGTTCTTGCTACTAGGCAAGTCGTTACTACTCTCACTAAGCCACTCCCACATGCTCTATTTCTTTATCTTCATGACAAGATGTGTGTGCTACCTAATCCCATTTGTTTTGTCTAGCATTAGTTGTTTTTCCTGAGCAGGGAGAATATTATGCTATATGTTATGTTGTTATGAGCAGTTAGCTAATCTGGTATTTGGTTATGAGTAGTTGGCTAATTTAGCCCATTATGCAAGGCCTATTATTCTCTATTTTATGTAACTAAGTCTGTTTGATCAGATTCGATAGAGTTTTTTATAGAGTCGGTAATTCGAGCGGGTCTGGCCAAGCTTACTCAGATCGGGCTTAAAATATCCTGTCCTTTCTAAAAAGACCATATAGCTAAGCCCAGCCCTAATACCTTCAGGCTTCAGGCTGGCCCGAATACCCAAAACTTTTTGAAAGTATTTTTTCTTTATTTTTTGAACCAATTTTAATTTTTAAATAATTTTATTAAGCATAAAATATTATCTTAATTTTAAAAGAATAAAATAACAAATAACTTATCAACTTTGTACTTAAGTAGCTTTGTTATTATTTTGTTGTGTTATGTATAATTTATTCATGAATGCTTCCTTTACTTGTAAATTAATGTCTTATTGTTTAAATATTATTCTTATCATAGTCATATATAAATATTTTATATATTTTAATTACATTATATTATTTTAAGTTGATCTCAATTCAATTATAGTTAGACTACTAACTTAAAATTATTATCCCGATTAGTTCAAAGTTTTTAACAACTTTTAGGTAAATTATACTTTTCATTTTTATGAATATAAAAAAAATTTCCATCATTATATTATATATAAAAAATTATTTAATTATGAGTAAAATATTATTTTTTTGAAATCATTTTTTAACATTTTATATTATTTAACTCTTACATATAAGGGATTCTTACTCTTGTTCACTCTTAATTTTTAATCAAATCTAGCATGGACAATAATCAAGTAATTATTTAAGAATATTATTTTATTTATTATGTTTATCTAGTAGTAGAGTCGGAAATTCATACATGCCTAAATTTTATTTTTAAAATTATTTTTAATTTTATTTTACTTTAAAATTAATTATCTTAATTTATAAAAAATATAAAATTACTTTTTATATGAAAATGATTTATAAGACTCAAATTTTTTTTAAAAAAATTGGGTCTTAAAATATTAAAATATATTTTAAATATTATTTTGAGATATTTTATTGATTAAAAATAATAAAAATAGAAATATAACTATTTCTAATTTTTTTAAAAAATAAATACATTAAAACACTTATATCTATATATATATATATTTTGATATAAAATGATATAAAACTTGAAAAATTAATTAATATTTATTATATTTTATATTTTTTTTAAAAAAATATTTTTTTTATTTGGGTATTTGGGCCTATTCAGGCTCCTGAATAGGTCCGGACAATAAAAAAATTAATAATTTTTTAAACTTGATCTTAAATCTTTGGGATGAATTTGGACAGATCAGTCTAGTTTAATTTAAATTACCGACTTTAGTTTTTTAAATGTTTTAATTTGAATGGTATTCAGAAATATATTTACTCTTGCTTTTCAGTAATTTTGACGCATTGCAGTTAACAGAGCGCGCTCGTACTCGTTGCTTTGACGAACTGACTTTGCGTTGTGAACCTTACGGTTTCATCTTTAAAATATAAAGAAGGCTATTTCCGACTGTGACTATGAGTATGATTCTGTAGCCAATCTCTTTTCTTTTTCTTTCTAAGATTGATCTCGGGATTTGTGCCATTTGAGGCCATGCATGCGTAGTCAGTCTTGAAAATGGAAGTTTCCTGTACTTCAATAGTTACTTGTCTACTTGAATCTTCGATCGTATGAAAGCTTACAACATCGTCACTTTACATTTCATGGAAGTGAATACAATTACTCGCTGACAAATCTATGTTTGAAATACTAAAGCTCTTGATCTACCTATAACAACATGCATCAACAATCTTCACGCAAGCCCAAAAAGAAGAAGAAGAAGCCACTAGCTATATAAGACAAGTATGTATAATACAGTTGACAACAAAAGTGGCAACGAACTATTAGAAAAGAATCTAAAAGTTCTCTTTATGAAAATCAAATTTGGTGGAGGTTTTCCTGGAAAAGTCATGAGAAAGCCTTCTAAGATCCCCAACCAATCCATGCGCCCCACAGTAAAAAACACCTGAAAATGTACACGAAGACATTGGAAATGAGTCGAGCAGGAACTAGTTTTACGCAAAAAGAAGCATACAAAAATTTCAGAGCAGAATCAATACTCACCGACTCTTTGATCAGGGTGTTTGAGGGCCACATGTTTAAAGACATTACGCCAATTAGGTCTAGCAAAATGGGTTTTGACCCTTGTTCCCGAAACTATATCAACGCCATTTTTAGCATGGTGGAGGGATTGGAGCATTGTGATTAGTGCCGATCGAGCATCTCCTTCTTCGTACACGCTCGTGCAATAGTTATGAAGCTCAATTACACCATTATTGTCGTTCTCTGTAATCTCATTCATCACACCCTTAAACCACTCGAAGGAACCTTGCTCGCGAGTGACCCAATAGAAATAGGCTCGCTTGGTGACGAAAGGCTTCCTCTTGTGGCTCTTAAATCCATTCTCTAACATTCCTTCTTCCGTGTCTTGCTGTTGCTTAATGTTGTTTAGCACGTCTTTGAGTATGCTAATCAATGGGGTGGCACCAATTCCAAGGCCCACAAGAAGGAGGACATCGTAGTTTTTGTAGTCCTGTGCCGGAGCTCCGTACGGGCCATCAATCAAGAGCCTCGGCATCCTGCAATTTGAGAAGTCAGCTTCTACAATCGGACAATGTCAGGGGGAAGCCATCTAGAGAAGCATATATAGCTCTTTCTCGCCAGTTATATCTTTGAAACGACATTGAAGACACGTGTTAATTACCTCGGCTTGTAGTTGCCTTGTAACATGTCAGCTCGCAAGAGACCACTTTGACCATCATTTGCAGGCTGGCATGCCTGCATCAATCATGTGTGGCGAGCATGAATATAAATTACATCATGAAAGATATTTGAGGAAATGCCAAGAGCTCATAGCACCAAATTATTCTTTTTCCAAAATCCAAATAGTGCGAAGATTAATACCTTGGCAAAAACAGCTTTCAGCTGTGATGTCCAGTCACCCAAAGTCCGGATGTGAATGCTAACGTAGTCATCTCCAGGGGCTGATGTAATAGAAAATGGATGCCTGCAAATGCCACGTAAATTAGCCACTATCCTCATATTGTCGCGCGATTTTAAACTTAAATACGTGGCGCATAACATATGTACCATTGAAATGGGGAGACATCTGAACAGTTAACGTAGATGTACTGGCCACTGGTGTACTTAAATCCTTGAGGTTTAGACATGTGCAATGCCAATACATTGCCCGGGTAAACTGCAACCTGATTTTTTGAGAGAAGAATGAAATTATTAATAACGCCACTAGAAAACCGAAATAAAATACTTTTTTTCTTTTCTTTTCTTTTTTTTGGTGGAAATAAAATGTACCTTCAAAATCCTCACAGTTTTGTAGCCCGACCTAAAAGCACGAATCAGTCGTTCGCATGCATACAGTAACATTGGAACGGCGAGATACATCCACGTCTGTGCCAAGTAAGCTTGCATCCATCAGCAACGGATTGAAAAGAAGATCCCAAGCATAACACAAAACAAGAGGGAGGTTCGCGGCACTCACCGTTCTCTTGTACCATTTCTTGGAGAGGTAGAGGAAGTATCCGTGAATGATGAAAAGCACGTAGACAATGACGAAGAGGTGGTGGGAGTACCAGAAAGCGTTGAAACCAGTAAGCCTTTTGATGGTGGTGGGGAGGTTAAGCCTGTTCCGGCGGAACCAAGGTTGGGCCAAAATATAGGCTATAGCCATGAGCACCAGCATGACCAGCCCGGTCCAACCCTCCGTCCCTTTGACAAACCACCAGTAATTATTAGGCCTCTTATCCCCGAAAAATTGCTTCATGGGCTCATATTCCTCGTCCGTGGCATGCAATAACCTCGGGAAGTCGCACGTGAGGTGCGGTATCACGTGCAACCCGACCCCAATTGCGACACCGAAGGCTATCACCTACAAACATAAATAGGAAATGAGCAGCGGAATTGAATTATTATGTGCTAACTCTATCAGGTAAAGTACTATGGTTCGGTACCTTGTGAAAATTGATATTGTCGTCGAAGGAAATGATGGCGCCTAGCTTGGTCCTGCTGCGAAGCCAAGTGATGGTGTTCCGGCAAACAGGTAATAGGATCAAGGCCATGTTGAATTTGAGAGTCTCGGCACCACCTTTGGCGGTTGAAACGCAATAGCCCATGACGTGGAACACAGCCCGGTGCTTGTACTGCACGAATTTCCAGGCGAAAAGGGCTGCGCATATGGAAACCCACAGCGCGATGACCCAGATTCGTTTCCAATTGTCCTCCGCGAAGTACCTGACTCCTCGAAGCCTCCTTTTGATGGGGTTGTTCTCTTTCGCTGGCACCAGCAACTGGCTCAGCATTTGGCTCATTACTCTACTTCCCGACGTCAAGTGCGCTGACTTTGCCGGCGCTTGTAGCAGCAGCATTTCCAAGTTGTACACCTGCATTTACATGCATCACGCCCCCTCACTATTCTTGTGTTCTATTGGGCCTCTACTTAGCCCAGCCCAATGATGATTATAAAACATATATACCTCGATGTATCCCAGGTTGTTGGGGTCCAGTTCCTCCATGATCAGGGCTGCGTATTCTTCCGCACGATCTTGTATTTTTGACAGCTTATTCGCGGAAGCGCTTAAGCCAATAATCTGCGCCACATATATTCAACAATGTTACTGGTCGAGGTTCCAGGAAAACCAGCGATTTTAACTTATGATTTGCATTTTTTGTATTCTCTTTTCTCAAAAATCTCACCTCTTTCACTTCTTCTTCTGTTATTCGTCCGTCGGCATTCTTGTCCACCCTGGCATATTGTTCAATTACGTTGTTCGGTAAGTGAAGTGACGAATGAAATTGCATGTACGTGTCTCGAATATCTCTGACATTTCTCTCTTGTGTACTATTTTACCTAATTTATTTTGACTTGTATATTCTGTTGCATAGTTTATTTCTCAAATGCTGTTGCTATCTACTCTAGCTCCATAAATTTCACCACCCCACTCTACACCACCCATCTTCGATTCGTCATTCGTCATTCTATTTCATAATCGTTGGCCCCTCATTACCGAACCTAAACATGTTGGAGGGGTTCGATTCAACACAGATTAGAATAGCTTGCACTTTTTTTTATTGGCGATATTATATAAAATCTAGTCCACAACTGCACTCTCTGACCCTCTGACATATGGTTTCACATGCCATGTAATTGCTGCGCGGAGTTTAGCTTCTCTGCATCTGCGAGGGCAAAATAAATCCTAAAAACTTCACGGCCTAAGAATCCTCTTGGACGGTGTCCTATCTTCACATATAGGAAATTAAAAATTATCCCGTGCACACTAGCTTTGTTTTTGGTTTTATGTTTTTTTTTTTTTTGGGTCTATAGAGTACACTAATTTTGACTACTGTTCCTTTCGCTTGACGAGGATCAGAGCACAGACAAAAATCTCTCTCAGCACTCTCTCATTCACAACCCCCCCCCAAAAAAAAAAAAATCCATGCGCAGTAAGTGCTCGAAGAAAGAATGGCAAAAAAAATAAAAAAGATAAATAAATAGATGCTTACATGTCAAAAAAGGTCTGGAGCCTTGAATCAAAGCTCTGGTCCGTGATTTGTTCCCAAAATTCGCGTAACTCGTCCTTGGTTATGGAAGCAGATGTAATGCCTCTGCGACGAGCCAATGCGTCAAATAACTCGCCAGCGAACTCACTGGACTCCATTCCTGATTATCATCAAGGTTTAAATTTCCGCCCTAAAGCTTACATCAAGCTAGTTAAGTGAGAAATGATTATTTATCCATACCAATGCACTGGCTAAATCGGGTTTTGGGAAGTTTTCCATCAATGGCCAACTCGTCAAAGCGCTGCTCCACCTGAGACCAGGCGTCGGATCCGATGTTTTTTGAAATGAACTTGAGGCCTCGCAGGGCACGAGCAGCTCCAGATTTGGTCCTGTCCATCTTGTCGAACCTGTTGGAGGAGGTCATGCGTTTAAGCTCCTGCGAGACTTGTCTCAATTTGAAGGACAGCTGAGAGCCCAGAGAGGAAGGCCTCTTCTCGAGACGGCTGGCCAGCATGGCCGTCTCGGGGTCTCCGCCCCGAATGTTTTGGACGGAGACAGAGTCATCGCGCACGTCCAACGTTATTTCCACGTACTCTTGTTCTTCCTTCTTGGATCTCTTGCTCTTCTTCTTGGCGGATGCTAATGGACCGCTGAGAGGCCCGCTGAAGCCACCCGGAGTGCTCCGGCCTCCGGTGCTCGTGTCCGTTTCCGACCAAGATTCCTGCTGGTTTTCTTGAATCTCCATTGCCGGTCCAGATTCTGTGACTGTCCGTGCAAGGTTTGATGGGGAGCTACGGAGAAGTTGGTATTTGGAGGCTTGAGAGTGTATGATTAGGGGGTGTGGAGCTGAGAAGTTGGAGAGAAAGGGGGGCGAGAGTTGATATATATTTATAGATAGAGAATGGGAAGCGAGTTGAAAAGGGAGTAAAAGAATGTGGATAAAGAGGACAAGTCAGAAAAAAGGGGAGGGTAATCCAGGGGCGGGCATGCGGTTTTGATATGTGATTTGTTTTAATAATGCGTGTTCGTTTGCTGTGGACGGGGAGAGTAGTTGGGGTGCTGCTTCTTTCTTCGCTTCAAATTCATCCCCGTCTTTCCGAGAAACACCATGCTCTGAATTTTCAATTTTTCATTTACCTTCACTCTCTTTCTAAAGAAAAACCAGAAAATTCGATGACCATGTTTTAAAAAAAAAAAATTTAAAGGCTGACTATTATGCTGATTGGACACTTTCTAGCATCAATTATATAGTCCTTAACCATAGTTTTAAAAAAAGTCCTCAAAACATTCCTAACTTTCCTAAGCTTCATTTTATTTCTCAAACTCTATTTTACAAAAACAAATTAAACACTTTTAATTTTCTCAAACTCCATTTGATGCTCAATTTTATAAAATTAGGACTTTTTTAAAATTATTTTTATTTTATTATTCTAAACATTATTATTTTGTAGAATGTGTTTTAAATATAAAAATAATGAAAACAAAATTTTTTTACATTTTTTATTTTTTAAAATAATAATCTCAAAATATCTAAAAGATGTTTTCATTTGTTTATTTTTTTAGAATACTTTTTAAAAATATGTTATCAAATAAATTTTTTTATTTTAAAAAATTATTCTTAAAATTAGTTGCCAAACAAGCTTTTAATTTTAAAAAAATTATCAAAACAACATCATCATCTGTTAATCAATTTTTTCATAATTTATTTTCTACAACTGAAATTCAAACACATCCTGCAAATTGTAATTCTAACTAAAATAATTCCAACATATAAACAATCGAAATTAAAATAGTTTCTAAATATTCTGAGGAAAACTTTTAGAGAAGTCTCAGCCAGAAAAAAAAAAAACTAATATGTCTTTTAAAAGTTATTACTGTCATATCTTTCGGGAAAAAAAAACTTGGGTACAAAATATAAATGAGATAAGTTATAAATTTTACAGTTCAACTTACAAGCGTTGGAGGAGGATTTGTGTGAATTTTTTTAATTGTGTGTTAATTTACAAGTTCTCCTGTAATATTTATAGATCAAATTGATAATTTTATAACTTATCTCGGGATTCCTCCTTTTTGCACAGCGTATCAGTAACAAATCAATTTTAGGGATCTGTTGATAATTAATGCACACACATGGACCAATCCCATTATGTCCAAAGGATTTAAAAACCAAACGGATCATTGGATTGGATTAGTCATTATTTTACAATTCATTAATTCAATCATGATCGAATTAATTAATATTAAATTAGTATATATTAATTTATATATCATAATTAAATAAGAAATACATGTAAATATTTATATTTTTTAAAAAATATTAACAAATGCATGATAAAGTGATCTATTATGGATGAATACATAATTAATATTAATTATTCTTGATTATCTTTTGTTATGATTAATTTTTAAATTAATTTCTCAAATTTTTAATTAATTCAGTACGGTTTTGATTGGTTTTTTTTTCAATCATTAATCAGTTCCTTTGTAAAAGGTTTTGAGGGATCAACTGAACTGAATTAAGAGTTAGTTTCTAGTTTAACTAGTTGAATTGACTGGTTTAATCTAATTTTTAAAACACTCATAAAATCTAGTTAACACAAACATGTTAATAATTAATAATAAATCTAATATATTGAAATATATATTCTTCAATTTAAATTGTAAGATTTTTTTTAGTTGAACATATCAGATGTTTTGCGTGATCGGGTAGTTTGAAGACCAGTTATCGTAACCATGTCAATGAGTTTTCTTTTCATTTTGTTTTTTTCTTGGCCCGAAACCATGCACGTTAGTTTATGTCAATGGATCAATAATTAATAATAGAAAAATTATAGTTATCGAGCCCTATAATTTTATCTGTTTTGCTTGTAATTTTTATAATTTTTTTAATTTTTATAATTTTAATAACATTGTGTAACATTTGTTACATGAATCCTTATAATTTCAATATTTTTGATTTTTATGAGGATTGAAAACATTAAACAAAAATTACAAAAATTAAAATTAAAATCTAATAAAACTATATGGACTCATGATTGTATTTGTCCTTAATAATATTAGCATATAATGTAAATTATAAAATATATTTTAAAAATCATGCTAGTTATAGGTTATGAAGTTGTGTAAAATACATGATTCATAATTTATTTTTTATAATTGCAAGGGCAATCGAAAATAAACATTGGCATATTTTTTGAAAAAAATATATTTTTATTCTTAAAGTATTCTTTAAAAATATCTGGTATTTTAAATTATTAATTGAAATAATTTTGCTTTTAATACAATTATAACAGAATATTTTGGTCATTATCGTTAATTCTCCAACCGTTAATGTTGGAGTCCCAGCTGGCATTTTATAATGGTTAGTGTTGGAAATTTTTCTATTTTTATTATTTTAAGGATAAAGTTATTCCAATCAATAATTCAGGGATTGGGTGCCCTTAACGAACAGTTCAGCAACAAAAATTGAACCCTTTTTTTAATACCAATTAGAATTCGGAAACGGTGTAGCTTACTTTATCAACATGTGGTTTTGGTTGTCTAGAACGTTAGGATACGGGTCAAAGGAGTGGATCGATGGCTTCGCAATCTTATCCAGTATTTCATTTATATGATTAAGATCCAACTAATTAGTGCAAAAGGACAAAAGAAATTAATTATAATGCATTTTAATATTTTAATTTACTGGTGTCTTTTGGAACCGCGAAACATTAAACGTGGCTTGGTTGTACGACTACAAGTGCTGGAATTTCCCTATTAATATTTATAATAATACTCTTACGTTACAAATTAATATACTTGACATGATTCACCGGCTTTAATTTTGGAAACCATCGGCCCGTCTGGGACAGGAACTCTGGGAGAAAATCAAATGCTCGTGTGCAAAAAAAAAAAAAAAGAAAAGCAAGAACAAAAAGAAGCAGAAGCAGAAATTAAAACAGAGATCAAAAGAAAAACAACAGCATAGTAATTTACACACAACCAGCTAAGGTACGTACAAACTAAATTTGGTGTGTGGTAGAAATTTTTTTAGGGAAAATCATAGTGAAAGACCTTTGAAGCATTTTATTTATAGAAAATGACAAAATGGTTCTAAATTTATGTTGCAAGATTAAAGTACTGGAATATAATTAAATTTTAATGTGAAAACACAAAACTGCTCTTCATTCTTTTTAAAAAGAACAAATCTCCTCACAATCAAAAGGATAGTTAGCCACTAAGTTAATAATTCTTTTCAATTATATAATGTAAATCTTTATATATATATATATATATATATTTAACTTTGTTTTAACTTTCTATGCCAATATTTACCATGAATTTAATGGTTACTTGTTATTTTATAAATGACAACTTGTTAAACTATTAATGAAACTTATTAAAAATTTAATATGAAGTAATTTTTATAAATATTTGCTTGTTTTAATTGCTAAAATTTTATATGTTAAAAGCTTATGTGAACTTATTATTTTGCTAAAATTTACTTATCAAGTTATCAAGAGAAATTTTAAAAGTCAGTAAAGAAACTTGTCATTTCACAAATGGTTACTTATTAAATTATCAATGGGACTTGTTAAAGAAATTTAATAAGGAGTATTTTTATAAATGTTTACTTATTTTTATCACCAAAAGCTTGTATGAACTTGTTATTTTACTAAAATTTGCTTATCAAATTATCAAGATAAATTTTAAAGTTAATAATAAGACTTGTCATTTCACAAATAATTATTTGTTAAATTATTAATGAGGACTCATCATTCTTAGTAATAAAAACAAGTGCATATTAAAGTTTTAATAAGCCACATTAGTAGTTTAATAAGTAGTTATATGTAAATTGATAAGTAATCATTGAGCTCTTGATAAATATTAACTTAAAAAGTAAAAACAAAGTTATATGCTTATATGTGTGTGTAAAGATTTGTATTCTATAATTAAAAAGAATTGCTAACTCAGTGACTACCTATCTTTTTTGTCTTTAAGAGGATGTGCCTTCAAATCCCTCTTGTTGGCCATCTTTAAAAAAAAAAAAAAAATTAATTTGTCTCCCTCCTTGATCATTGAGTCGGACAGCCCGCTGGAGCTTCGGTGGTTGATGACAATGAGAAGATTTTTTATTTGAAAAAAATGAGAAATAATTTTATCTTTTTACACTAAAATTTAATTGTATTTTGGTTCTTTGATCCTACAACATGAATTTAGCACCATTTAATCTTATTTGTAAATAAAATACGGTCCTTCACTGTGAATTTTCCATTTTTCTAAGTGATTGAAAGTTTAAAGTAAATTCTTATGGGTATAATAATTTAATTAGGAGAAGTTTATTCACAGTTTTTAGTACTTTGTGGGAGTTGTTGAGCCTATTTCTTGTGCCATATCTAAAAAATAACCAGCTAGAGTATGACAAAAATAAACACGCGCACATGTGAGTTGAATTTAGTACTAGTAGTACTATACCATTTACAGTACAAAAATTACATCATATTAGCTTACATGACAAATTTGTCGTTGACTAGCTAGTTCATTAATAAAATCCACATGGCAAATCAAAGCCCATTAAGCGCAAATGATAATTAATCCTGATTGTTGATTGCTTTACACTCTATCAAAGATTCATCTTCTTCCCCAGTAAAACAAAGGTGCGTGAGAAATATGCTTCGGACAGTGATTCTGATGGCTTCAATGTCTCAATCCAACAGCCTCCGTTGTCAGTGAGATATAGATTACAGCTTGGCTGAAAGCAAAAAATGAAATGGCAAATAACATAAGAAATCCGTAGATCATTAAATCATTATAAATATAAAATTAGATAGATTTTATATATAAAAATGGGAAATGTAAGAAATTTCAGTCAGACAACTATCT